ACGCAGTATCGGAATAAAACTATGTTTTTTTCCTGGCGAATAAACTCCACCATTTATATCCAAAAATCAAGGAGTGCTCTTGGAATTATTGGGAGTCTGGACACGGCAAGGGTGCTCCAGATGGTGTTGGTGGAGTCACAAAGCGAACCGCTGATAGGCTTGTGGCTGAAGGAAAAGATATAAGTTCATATGAAATCCTTCTTAATAGTCTGCAGAATAATATCAAAAACATAACCTACTTTTCAATTGACGATGCAGATATAAATAAAATCAGTGATTTAATCAAGAAGGACAGCATAAAGCCTTTTGTCGGCACAATGCAGGTGCATCAAGTCAAAGTTGAGGATTACACTGCAGGACTGTTAAGATTTTTCAGGTTGAGCTTATTTGATGTTCAAAGTACGAGTTATTTTTGTGGAATCTTAGATTACTCTGATGAAGACAATGGATACACCCAGATAGAGCCAGAAGTTAGCAGCGACTCTGATGATGATTTGCCCTTAAGTAACCTTGTTTGTCATAAAAAGAAGATGCAAAGAATTCATTACAATGACGTCTACTCTGATGATGAAGCTGGCCCAAGCTCAAAAATATATCAACAAGATTTAGTGCCAAGTAACATTATAAAAGATACTTATGTGCTTGTTGAGTGTAAAACAAAACTAACAGGTTATCGTTATGCAGCAGTTGTCCAAACGTACTTGATGATGACGAAGTTTTGGTGATGTTTTTGAAGGTGTGCAAGTTCCAGAATATGCAAGCATTTAGAGCTAATGATAATGATACGTCCTTTGTCGGTTATGATCAGATACTTGCGATTCTACCACACCGAATATTTTTGTCAAAGGAAATAAAACATATTATAAATTCCATAACGATGTGGACGTGTTCGAAAAGGTTTGAATGCATCCCAGTTAATACTTAGCATTTTTTCATTTATTAGTAGTTATAATTTAGAGTAAGCGATCAGGTTTTCTATTGTTCCCTTATTTATTTGTCTTTCCTCTGGCTTGAAGCCATTTCGTAAGTTGGGATAAATAATTTGTACGTTATATTCTTATGAATGTTTTTTTAAGTTCGACTTTTCAAATTCTATCAAAAAGTTTGTTGATTTTGATATAAGTAGGTAGTACATTGTTGAGTATTTTCACATATGATCATTCCTCTGTCCTTGGAGGTCATTCCTCTGTAAACAGTATTCCATATATTATGTTCTGAATTTATAAAATGAAGAAAATATATGTGTTCCTCTGTGCAGAAAGTGTTTCATTCAATATTCAAACTGTATCCATAAGTCAGGGACCTTTTTGTCAAGTTATAATTTTTTCCAAATAATAAAACCTTCAAATATAACTGGTTATGGAGAATCACCCATATAAGAAAAGTTAACTATTTAATTTATGATAATTATAACATCAATGGTCAGGTTTATAGACAGATGCACCTCTTATAGAGACCTTGGAGTCATTTTTGATACCAAGCTAACGTTTTACTGAGCATATACTCAATATCTCGTCGGCTGCCACTCGACTACTTGGTTTCTGTATCAGAAACTGGAAGGGTTTTCTCCAATGTTGATACATTAATGACTTTATTTTTTACTTTTGTCAGAAGCAAGTTGGAGTATGCGACTCTGATCTGGTCTCCTATATACCAAAATTCTGTCGTGATCCTTGAGGCCATTCAACGTACAGCTTTAAAGTATTTTCACCTTAAATGCACAGGTTCTTATCCAGAAAGAGGTTGTGACCATAGTGCCCTATTAGAGTTTTTCAATTTGGATTCACTGTCAACAAGACGAAACATATTTGCTTTGTCGTTTTTGTATGGCCTCGTTCGCAATAAAATTGACTGTCAAAATTTACTTGAAAAAATATGTTTCCGCGTTTCAAGGCTAGGGAGTCGACAACAAACGGCATTCTATTGTCAAGCTGGCCGTACAAATGTTATGACAAAATCGCCAATTAATCTCACGTGCTGCGTCATGAACAGTGTTACTAAATCGTGTGATATTTACAGTGACAGTTGAGCATCGATTATTAACTGCTATAGATCATCCAATCTATTTAGAATGTGTGATACTATAGATTTAAGTCCAAGAACCATGTCTCTTTAATTGTTATTTTTTCAGCGTTTCCTGTAATTGGGTTTCACCTGTTGGAAATAAATAAAATAAAATATCCACCCTGTATACTAAGCAAAAGGGTTAACCTTCCTGTATACCGGAGCAGGTTAAAAACGTTGAAGCCAATGAATACACCCGGAAGCATTGCGGGCACTGCCACCATTCCTCGGATGCGGGCTCTGCCGAAACGTCCCTATTAATCCCAGCTCTAATTCCCGTTCCCACTTCCAGCCATCCAGCAGGTCCTTTATTATATTAGGACGTGCCTAACCTATTAAATACCTTTCCTGTGGGAACGGAGCTATCCGATTTAACAATTGACCAAAACGGGTTTCCGAACTAGCGGCGCTAATTTATTTCGAAAGAAGGGCGGCCAGTCGTTTTTAATTTGGAGCTGGATTGGCTGAGGTACGGTTATTGGTGGTCCGTGGGTCGCTCCATAATTATATCGAACAAAGAATCGGAAAGGAACAAAGGATTTTGTTCTTATATTCGAAAGAGGATTGGTTGATTAGCAAAGTAGCAAAATTGTATCTGGAAGATTGTGTGGTTTGGTCAGCATGTGCATAAAATCAGTGATATTTGATATGTGAGAAAATTAGATATATCCATCAGCTGCACCAAACGGGTTATTTGTGTTGTCGTTTCTGAAGAGAGGTTTTCTTCAAAGTCATGAATTTTTCCAAAACTTTGAGAAGCGTTACGGGACATCACCCACCGCGCCCGCGTTGAGTGTAATTAAGCCACAACGCAGAAAAATCAGGACTGACGCATCACACACAAAACATTTTTGCAGTGCCTCACATCTAGGCGCTGATTTGAATTTTAACTTGACATTGTAAAATAAATTTAAATGAAAGGAATAATGTAATATCTAATAACTTTTTCACGTTTCATAAATATTACTATTTGTAGCCTATTTTCTCTGTTAGTTGTAATATAAATCACCAACCAGGCATTTCCATTTTTTTATCTCTCGCAATTTACAAATCGTCGCCTTCCGGAGAAAATCACTTATCTCCCCAAAGGCAAATTTTCAGGGGAGACAAAAAACTTTCCTGTAGATTGAGTTTATGTAATAATTTATCGAAATTTATACTAATTCTTGGAAAAACTGCCACACATCGATGAAAACAAAAAAAAATGTGCTAAGTATAAAACTATGTTTCTTTAAGGAGTTACGCAATTTTTGTCCTTATGGTAGGGATATACGTATTTTTCCAGAAAAACCTAAACTTAGGTATTATATTATGTATTTACATAGAACATAGTTTATAGTGAAAAATTAATTTTCCTCGTAGGGAAGATTATCATAGAAGGTATGGTAATCTTGAAGTAGAGTTTTCTTCAAAATTGGAGATGATCATATTTTCCTTTTTTATCTTCCTTCTTTCTTGATACATGTTGGTAAGCTCTGTGTTGGTCTCGGTGGTGACAGCTTAACTCTCTGATTTAGTTGATGCCAGGGGTCAGTGTGCCTCAATTTGTAGTAGATCTTTCCAGATGGGTCATACTTTAAAGCACGTATTTTAACTACTGTATCTCTACCGGGTCGAATGGATTTGTAGTAATTAAGAGTATCGAATTTCTTAAAGAAGCTTAATGTAATGTATCTTACATTGTAAGGCTTTGGATTTTGTCTCGCAATCACACAGGCATGCACATAATCAGCAGGTATATTGATTTTACGGTTCCGAATCTTCTTCTCAATGCAAGAGTGCATTGAGTCGACTTCCATTTGCGTATGCCCTTTTTCGAGATATTTTTGGATGATGGTGATCTTATGGAGCATTGCGATGTTAACCAAAGTATTCGCCAGGATAGAGTTTCGATTCTGCCCTGTACAGCCGTCACTATATAGGATTATTTCTTTTTGCTCTTCCTGTAGTGAAGGAATTATAGTGTTCTCTATAAAGTCAGCCAATATAGATGAGAATTCGTTTGACGTAAGACCACCTTCCGTCTCGTTCCATAAAAAACAGTATCCGTCTTGGGTTTTTAAGTTATACAATGTAAAATTGTGCACGATCAACTTAGTCTTATAATACATTGCGCTGACCGTCGATTTTGGACATAGGAGAACTGCTTGCAAATCCATCGTAAAGACTGAAGCAGATGACTTCTTATCTTTCTCTTTTTCTTCTCTAGCTTCTTTTTTCATTACCTGATGTAAATCGTATTCTTCCTCTGGAAGATTTTTTGCATCGTATGCAACACACGTGTCACACAGGTCCTTTTGGGAACATATATAGAGAGATTTCGTTTATTGAACTCTTTGAAAAAGATCGTTCGTGATACGGGTTCATCACCGCTGTCAGGGCAATGATGACGTTTTGTAAAAGCCATACAACTGATTTGTTGAAGCCCACATCGGTTCCAAATACAGTTTGCTGCTTGATGCTCCGCAATAGTGTGATTCGACTTTCGGTAATGAATCGAAAAACTGGTTTAGTGCCTCGTATCTTCCTCCATACATTTTACTCCTACTCTGTTTTCTTTGTCATTTAGTCTCTTTTCATTTTCTTCCAATTTGTCACTTTCGTCCAGTTTAATACTGTAGATTCCTTCATGCTCATAGTATTTAGGAACATTTCTTGCAGACTCTTAATTCTTTGTTCTCGACTTTAAGGTAGTACTTTAGTGAATAGTTTCTTCTTCGACTATTTTCATTGGCTCCCCTTCTTCTTTTTACATTTTCAATTTTCACCAAACTCTGGATATAAATTTTTCTCTCTTGCCAATTCATGTGGTTCCAAAATATATTGAATATATATTCTCGGTTTCCTGAGTCAATTTTCTACACTCTATTGTACTAGATTTAGTTGTTATCTTACAGTCGCAAACATTAGATAACATTTTCTTGTTTCGAGGAATGTCATATTTCCATTTTTCCACCAACCTTCATTTTGCCTTTATATGCTAAGCCCTTTTCGCGGTTCGCTTGATTTCTAATTTTTAACCACATTGATTGGTCAAGATTATGCCGCTTAGCCCTTTTTCTCTGGAACAACTCTTCTGTTTGTTCTTCCATTCCATATGCTGCGTTCTCTTTTTCTTCTTCCATCAAATCAACTCTATTTTCATTTGATGGCGACGTGTCATATGCAGCGTTCTCATTTTCCCCTTCAACCAAATTAACTTCTTCGTTGGACTGTAATGTGTCACATTGTGTGCTGCCAGACTGTCCTATGCCGTCAATTAGTGCTGGTACCGATTGGTGAAATTCCTGTATAGCTGAATCAAACAGATCATGTGTTGGTTGGGGGTAAACTACATCCTCGAGGGTGGCAAAGCCTGGTTCCACAATACTATTTTCTGCACAGCTGATCAGATTACATATTCCGTTATCTCCAACCTCATAGATTCCCTCTCTTGCCATATCTAATATTTTCCTGGCTCTGCTAGACATTCTGAATGATCTGTGGACAAAAGATAATCACAATGTTGGGAATAAGGATTTTTAACCTCATAAAAGACGTGGTTAATCTATCTTGATTTTTCTGGGCAACAATCAAAACCATAGGTGGTAAGGACTTTAGTGAGGCTTCCACATCCTTTTTCAAATAATAGAATGACGATTTAAAATTAATTTGAAATATAAAAACCCTCCACGGCTGCCTTTATAAAAACACATTTGAATTAAGACATGACTATGGATCATTTTTCATCAATCTATTTACCTGGTTTCTTGATTTCTTAATTCATATAATTCATTATGCGGCAGCCGAAATGTCAGTAAACTATTTTAGACAGCTATTGTGGTTTGATAAAAAACAAATATTAGAAAACAAAATGATAATCTATGAACTTATTCTAGTGGATTGTATCTCCCGAAAATGACATCTGTAGAGAAATATGGAAGGTTATGGAAAACTACGTATCTCCAGTGTCATGCACAATTGCATTTATAAAGATTATGATCGAATGCTGAATATTTAAAAACGCTGATATAACATATTTGTAGTACTTACCATCCACCTTGCAAAAAACAGCTCTCCAAAAAGTTAATTAGACACGTTAAGAATAACAAAATGTGCGGACTGACAAGTACTGACACGCAAACCGCACTATTCCTATAGGGACTGGGCGCTTACGCATTTTTCGCGGGACACTAAACAGTATCAGGAGATACGTATATTGCGTTGACGAGTTTTAACGTGTAAATAATAGTTTCGGGACTTAGATATTTTGTGCACGGAGAAGTTACCTTTAGAACTAAAAGATGGCATGAAAATCTAATTTTTGGTAAAATGTGGAGTTACGTGATTTTCTCTCCGGAAGGTGATGAAATTCAGCAAATTAGTATATGTAATTTTTAATTTCCAGGATAAAGCATACATCTCAAATAAGTGTAGCAGACAAGAAACCAAGGGAATTATCATCAACACAGATTATCAGTCAGCACATAAATCCTCAGTAAGCACCTATGCACTGCCGTTTCGTCCATTTTCGTCCATCTATAGTATAAAACAGCTCAGACCTTCAATAATGCTATCACCAGATGTTACGTCACATCATAGCCGAACCATGACAGCTGAAGCATCATGACGTTTAGGCAGCACATACAGCTACATAACGAGTGCACATTAGGTAAGCAACAGCTAGTTCCAATGTGACGTCTTATAAGAAAACTTACATAATGTCACAAGAAACCTATACCGGGTGTCAACGAAATCGTTTTTCAATGCACTATTCAATTGCTGTTTAAAGAAGAACCTTGAATTTTTGTGTGAAGATATGACTTATAAAAACTCAGATTATTCATTAAAAACAACTAAATATCGCATCCGGTTTGACCGGAAGTGAGTATGAAACAAGACTTTTAGATATACTAGTACGTTTCTTTTGTGTTTTTTCTTTGTAACGATAACAAGAACAATAACGGAAACTAGCATAGTAAAAACTAAGTAACAAAAGTAACTAAATAAGAAATAACTTAGCAGATGAAATACTAATTAAAAATTATGAAAAATCATTCAATTAAGGCGGCTCCGACGCAGTGAGTTTCAAGCCATTTACAAGGGTTAAGCTGGTTCAAAACTGACACTCCATTTTTCAATATTTTTTAATGAAATTCATACAGTATGTTGAGAAGAAAACTGCTCAGGGTGCTATAGGAGCACTTTTTGAAATTTTGTTTTTGCACAAGTTTTATGATGGGTTAAAGTGCGCACTTTTTCTGTTCAACTTCAACATAAAAAGAACCTAGTGAAAAAAATGAAAAAGTGGCTCTATAGCACCCTGTGGGGTTTTGTTTTTAGCACTCTGTGAAAATTTCATCCAAAAATATCAAAAAATAAAGCGTCAATTTCGAAGCGCGCAAACCTCTACAAATCGTATTTTGGACGAATTTTGTCTACCGTTTCGTGCTGCCAACCCAAGCGTTGCGGCAACATGTACGGACTAAGAAAGGACGTAATCAGATAACTTGGTGGCCCTATTTCATATAATATCGCATAGATAAGTCGTTCTGCAAATAGTGTACTCATAATCGGGATCGCTGATACTCCTCGATTTTAAAGCCGTTTCACTTCCCACGTCATTGGCGAGGAAGTATTGTAATCGCGAAAAATTTCTAAAATGAGATTTAAGTCATATGACATCTACATCACGGAAGACTGTATCATTCATCATCAACTTGGAAATTACCGCTCGGATTTTTATGAAATTTCCACACGGGGTTACTAGTATGCCAAAGCTTTGTAGTTTTAGTCCAGTGGCAACGGTGCTATAGGCAAAAAGAAAAAGTTCAATTGCTGAAACTTCGTTTTTGACGTTTCTGGGGTTCCTAATCATTGACATAAAAAATTGTACTGCTTAAAAAGGGGGGATTGAAATCAGTGAAACACGATCTATTACTAAGAAGCTTCTGATCCCAGTAATTACAGGAAATTTAAGTATCGAAAATCCGACGAATAATGTGCTCACGATTTGAAAAAATCGGTACCTGCTCTATAGGTTTGACACCAAGAGCCAACAGATCTGCAACTACCGACAGTAGCGAAGAATAAATTCGGATATCACTCCAGTCAAGTATATATATATATATATATATAGCGTGGAACTAAAATTATCGATATGTCAAGGAAATATGTTTTTGAGAACGATCATTTGGTAGATTTTATACCTGCATTTCCATTTGAATTTCATAATCCGTGAAATGTACCCATTTCGCAGTTACCTTTTGTGTTGTGCAGTTTGTGATGTTTTTCTGGATATAAGCAGGCCATAATTACCTAGGGTGCTCTCAGAGCTTTTGCAAAATTTTGTCTTTGCCCAAGAATTATGGTGGGTTGAACTGCTTACTATTTGTGCTCAACTTCTTGAAATTTAAAAAGATCCTAGTGGATAAATCGAAAAGTGGATCGCTGGCACCCTGTGGACTTTGTTTTTAGCACGCTGCAAGGGTTTCATTTGGAAATAATAAAAAGTAAGCTGTGAACTGCAAATCGGTTTTTGGGCAAAATTCATCTAGTGTTTCGTCCTGTCAATCCAAGCGACGCGACGATGCGTTCCGACTAAGATAAAATGTATTCAAATAATTTTATATCTTTTCTAAAATAAGTTCAAGAACTTAAATTCAAATTCGTTTATTCATGTCAATAAACACAATTATGTTTACAAGGGTCGTGTGATAAATGGTAACAATTGAACGAGGGTCATAAAAATATCTTATGCCATCAAAATAAGAGGAAACAGATAGGTAGTTTTTGCAAAGCAATAAACAGGTAGGTTTATACCTGGATTAAGGACATGTCTTATCTACTGTAATAGGTAGATGGAGGTGATGCTGCCAGAAATGGATTTTGAATTGCCTTTTTTTATTGCTTTACTAGAAACCTCTTTTGGATATATGATGGAGTTTACTAGAACTTTACAGCTTGTTGTCTGCCTTCTTCTACAAATTTCACCAAATCGAGATGCTGTCAACCTTATCCTCCGATGAAGACGCCACAAAGCTCAGTCCTGTGATTTTGGTGACTTGTTCGATATGCAAATCTCGTCGTCACTTTTTCTAAGTTTCCCTAAAAATTCTTGCTTAGCAACCTCCAAATCAATGTCGTTCATGTCAGGTTTTGACAGAATTCGCCATGAAACTATTATATATTTTCTTTGGAATTGCTATCGGAATTGTTAGTTATTTTTATATCACCATTTTTTGGTCAGAGTTTCTTTCTAAGATTCTTGCATTTGAATCTTTGTTCTATCTTAGTGATAAGCGAGGTTGGACTAAGCTTAGAACGCAAATGTATTTGGCCCACATAGACAGGCCGCTTGGTATTGTGGCTCATTACAGCTGCAGCACATCTTCCACATCTTGCAATAATTTATTCGCTTACCCCAATGTATTTTGCGATTATAGAGTTGAACTGCTCCACACTATTGTTGTCCTCATCAGGGTTAAACTCACTGAATCTTAATTCTAATTGTCGCATATGACCTATTATTGTCCATTATCACCCTTGATAAAAACAATCACCCAACAAGAGTACAGCACAACAATTCAATAACACAATATCGACGAAACAGCACCAGGGTACTAAATGATCCACTTGCTGAGTACCAAAATAGGAAACGATTTACAGGCTAGATCGCTAATCGAAATCCGACTCTGTTATAAAAATTTAACTCGGTACGCACCCGCAATCAACCTTCTCCTCTTTAAAGTAGCGCCGACGGCCGTCTAAGACTAGCCCACCCTCGTTTCCTTTTCACCCCCCGATACCTCAGCAGATGGTGCTCGTGATTGTAAGAGCACCGGTAAGTGTTCAATGCGTTGGCCGCCGATTTAGTGACATAACCTGACTCTCTGGTGTTTTCTATAAGCAATTTTAGTAAGTGTTTTTGAGATATGTTTTTAATGGCTGTTCTAATTCTATTTTCCAGTACTTCTAGAGACGGTGGAGGAGTGGCATAAACTTTTCTTTAAATAGCCCCAAATTGAAAAATCCAGAGGGGTTCAATCTGGCGACCTTTCAGGCCAACGGGTTGGTCCGTTGGTTCCTAGCCAATTTCCACCGAATCGTTAATGAGGAAGTTTCCTATTTTTCAAATGATAGTCTAAGTAAAATGACGAACAGCGCTGATTTTTTTTTGAATATCTTGAAAAATAACAAAGTTACGCTAGTCAGAAGTTTATTATTTGAGAATCGTGTGGTGGGCCGTGCGAGTGAGTGGTGACGTCACATGATGGAAGCTTATCAGCCAGCAACACTGCAAGGAGATGCACCCGCCGCGCCGCGCCACACACGCTTCCCCCTATTATTAACAATGAGTAAAAAACTGGGTCAAACCTTCAACCGAAAAATATTTCATTGTACCTAGGTGTACAAATACTAGCATATCAGCAGTATTGGAAATAAGTGGGGCCAGGTAATGAATAGTGACGATAAATTGCCACTGTCGGAAAATCAACGTT